CAATTAGATGTCCCATACAATAGGAGAAAGAATGCAAAACATTATTTCTCATCCTCTAAACCAGAAGATCTGATTTGCAGGAAACAAAAAAGCAGAAAGATTCAGGGCACTGCAACATTCTGATGCTCCCCTGGAAAGATCACGCCGATGCAGAGGAAAACTTTCTACCCTGCTTCTGTGCTTCGAGTGAACTCGTATTTGTGTTTCCAGTAAAGAGCCATTTTTACATCAACTGTCTGTAACAGCAGGGAATAGGAAAACTAACACAATCTTTACCTCGTACAAAGGATGCTATTGGTGTCACGTGTTCGCTTCTTCAAAAAATGTTTTTTGTAAAAGACAACGGGGAAAGCAGAGGAACGATTGACTCTTCCCCGTACCCCCGCGCGAGTAGCGTTAGAGCAACTTTTTGATCCCCTACATTTTTTACATTCCCCCCCCCTCCTCCCCGAGAAGTAGATTTCACAGCCGCACAGGCCACCGCCTTTAATTAAGCTTTCAAAAGTCTTCTGACAATGCCAACAATTGCAAGACACTTCTGGAGCTCAATCATGCAATCATCGTGACACTTCTATTTACAATTTGTCTTAGAAAGAGTTTCTCTGACATTGTACTTTGACAAAACAGCCAAGCTGCCAGTTCACAACCTTTCTCTGTCTTATTTACAAATACAGCTTGTACGCAGGGCTCCGAACCTCAGGAGCGGGAGCCTTTGGGTAGCACCCTCACTATTTTTCCTGCCTGCGACTGTTTTACCCAGCCTGTGCTCTCTGTTTCTTTGTATGGGGAAGGCAGACAGAATTCGACGCCGAAATATTTCCATATTCCTCCCCCCTCCCCTTTTTTTAAGCTTTCATCTTATTGTCCAGATGCAATGCTAACTATTCAATGCAGACGTCAATAATTTTTTTGTCTCCGGAACAAAACAAAATAATAAGGAATCGCAATTTACAACCTACAGAATTACAATGGCAACTACTATTAACAGCCCAAGAAAATTTCTGTGGTGCAATGACTACTCAAAGACATTGCCTCCTGAGAACTGTAATAATCAAATGTACTTGGTCCAAAATTTAGTACCAAATTATGTCCACCTTCCCCCCGATTACTGCAGACAGAGGTTTTTCTTACGTTATTTTCCCACGTATTTTATTTGAATGCCACAAGCAGCCTGAGAATAAAGGATGGGAGCAGTAAAAATGATCTCCCCTCCTCCTCCCCTCTTTGTACAGTAAATACGGCATCCGCAGATACACGCTCGGCATTATAAAGGGGAGTACGCAGCAGCACTCCAAAGTGTTCCTCCAACTGAATCCAAGTAACATTTAAGATCCTTCCTCGCCCAAAAAACAGCCTTTCATTAATTCCCTCGGATTTATACATTCAACAAACAAACCGCTAAAACCTGACACCGGCGGACGATAAATATTTCTTCAGCCTTTTCAATAAGTGAACAGCGATTTTACATTCACTGATCTCTAGATACTTCAGTTAATATTTCCCCCTATTGTAAAATATGGGAGCGGATAACTAAAGCCCTGCCGTAGCACTCACTGCAAATCACGGGCTGCCGGTGTCTGGTGGTGAGGCTTTGACATACATATTGATGAAAGCTGCCTCATTGGACCCACACAACATATCCTATTAATTTTCGGTTAAATTTATGACATTTCAGCTATAGCGCTGGATCAGCATCACTCAAAATTTTATAGCAAGTCAAAGCTACGCGCAGGCAGACACCCACGCGGAAGAAACAGGTACGCATGCCTGCACCTATATGGATCTCACAGCTACTGCACAGGTTGCCCACATACATATAAGCTCTTGCAATCATCCCCGTCTCTGGAAAACGGCGAGGATAAAGAGCAGCCTATCGACGGTTAAAATAGACATCATTTCTCCCTGCATTTGAATGACTCGCTGCCTCCTTCCTTGCCTTTAGATGAGCCGATCCTTAACCGTTACTTAAGATGATCTTTTACTGTAACACACCAACTTACTGACTACAAAACTGCAGACAGAGCACATGCTGCATCCAGAGCTAACCTACAGCACCTCCGTATCCAGAGCTAACCTGTAACACCTCTTTCAGCCTAATAACTAATTTGGGGCATTTTTACGTTGCTACTAAATACATATTTTCTGGTCTTTCACCAGAAAGAATCAGTTCCCTCAACTCCTGTGTATTTTTCTAAAGGCAGCCTCTGTCCTTTTTTTTTTTCATTAATTGCACACTCATATCTTTTTGCATTTCGCATTCTTGCACAGAAATCGGATATAAAATATCAGAATTTGAAGAGCCCAAGGTTCACTGCAGGGGCCTTCCAGAAACCTGAACTCCACAGCTCACTCCAAGACCCTCACCGGTGACTTTACTGCCGGACCCCACAAACTCCTGGACAGGGGCCACTCCAGCTATTGCCACCCTTCTTTGGGATACGAGGGATCTAAACTCATCCACGTGAAAGGGGAGACGAAAACACGAAGGGGAGGGACAGCGGGAGACCCCGTAACTCCTGGTGCTCCTTTCCCGCCTCCCACAGCCAGGCTGCATTTCCCACCACAGGGAACAAGCAGGGGACCCCAGCGCCCATCGGCTCCGTCCCGGCCAGGGACGCGCAGGAAAAGACCTGTGCTCTCGGACCGCTCGTCCGCGGGCACGGCTGGGCACCACCGCGCGGAAAACTTGGGGCCGGAGATGCCCGGACGACCGCAGCTCAGTCTCTACTCACAACAGCGCTCGTGGCTTGCACCACGGACCCGAGCCCGCTCCCAGCCAGGCCCACCTGCACAGCAAAGGCAGTCCCTGCGTGTAAGAGCGAGCAGGATCAGGCCCCTGCCGATGTGCCCCTCTCCCTACCCATTGCCCTCCACTCACCAAGCCATTTAAAGTCAGTTAAAACTACAGCCTTTTCTGAATTAACGGCCCCGTGACACCGTGCGAGGCCGAATCCTGCTCACTTCACATCCCCCGCGCCACACGAAAGCGTAGTTTGGCTCGCCGAGTCTCCCGTGCCAAACAAGTACCAGAGCAAAAACCCTCAGCTGAGGAGTTTCCCCACGTGCAGAACTCGCCGCCGCGGCCGTGCCTCCAGCCGAGGGACCTATTCGGGACCACGGGGAGGAGAGCGGGTTTAATTCTTGCTTGACAGATACTGTGTTTTGTCTTTTCAACAGAGCGGCGCCGTACGTAAATACAGCGTTACATCATACCGCCGCTCCTCCATATTTGGTGATTTAGTATGGCTCCAGAGCTCGGAAGACTACAAATCCCTTCCGCCAGGCTCCCGCTTCATTAATCATGCCCTACGCTTCTGCTCGTTTTCCATCAGATCACAGGCAGCACATGGAAATGGGCACTGCCCTCTACCACTCCGGGGGGGGGGAAAAAAACCACCTTTAACGTCCGTGGCTGGGAAGTGCAGTATGCGGAATTATTGGGTTTTTTAAGTCTCATTCAAAACACAGCTTAGCAGTAGCTGAGCCTCTGTTTCCTCTTAAACATACATATATACATATATTCAAAGTAATACCTATTACTCCGCGGAAACAGTATATATTCATTCACACGCCGTATGCGTGTGGACGCACATGGCTTTGCATACACACATGCGCGCAGACAGACACGGGCGCACCGATACATATTTGCTGCCACCGCAACAGCCTCAAAACTACAGCTCTCCAGCGTGATTTGCCGGCCGGTTTGGAGGCCGGGGAGGCTGCAGGAGTATCGCGGTGAACCTCCCAGCGCCTACCGCCCTATTATGGTTTAACTTCGTGGCCAAAGCAAGCCCAAGACAAGCTCCAGCGCATCGTGTGATGATGTACTGCGCCTCTGACAACCCAAAGAGCGGTACCGGCAGTGCCGCGTCCCAAACATCGCTGGGAAGGGGGGTTTGAAACTGGTTCAGGCATTTGTTGGTGTTGATACGCTGCGGTCTCGCCTTTTTCGACCAGTAGCATTGGCGCGGTTTGAAGTGATCTGCAACGCTCGCTGCAAATGGGTAGTACTCTTGTTTACTAGCAGGATTTTAAAAGCAGAGCGTGCCTTGTTACGCTCCCAGGGCTCTGGGATTTTCTTTCACGTAGTATGCTCTATTTTTTAACCTCATTTGTGAAACTATCTGCACGGCAAATGGCTTTCCGGTTTAAAAAAAAAAAAAAAAACATTATGCTAAGAAATAGAATTATTTACCCTTTTTTTTAAAATTACATTTTATATTGTTTGTTGCACAAAACAGAACTCTGCCTTGGACATTTGTACGGCTGACATGTGGTTGTGTAAACCGCAAACAAAATCAAGATACATCTGTCAAAACCACATCAGAGACAAGAGAGAGCACAGCGAAGCATTTATCATTTGGCTGAGGAGGCAGGCTGCAGAGAGCGGCCTTTCCTGTCAAACCAACCTTTTGAAATTTCCAACATGCCCTTAAACTTTTCGAATAAGCATGTCTGTGCGCTTCAGCAACTGCCCTCTCTACTCTGGCCTGGCCAGTCGAAAATGGCATCTTAAAGTCAAGGTCGGTGGTGTCACTTTGCCATGGGGCTGTGTTTAATTACAGTCCATACGCTGACAGCCAATATGGAACCAAGGCTGGCTGATGCTCGGTTAACTCTTTCACCCCTGACTTTGCCAAAGACTCGAAAGCTCCTCGCTTTATCGCGTGGCAGGCTCTGAAATCTCCTCCTGCAGCGCTACGGCAGGCGAGACACTGGGAGACGGTGACTACAATACAGGCAAATCACGAGAGCGGCCTCAAACAATACTGTTAGAAATACTGGCTGGCACGGCACGTGCCTGTTGATCCTGCCTCTGCGCAGGCACTAGGAAATACCGGTCGTGCGCTCACCGCTAACCGAAGGCAGGGTATTTAACACGTCGGCCGTCACGGCGAGCAGAACAGAGAGACAGACACAGCAGTTTACAACTGCGAACATGCTACGTTGCAACTGAAACGGAAATGAACTCGCAAACACTTCTCCTTGCTTTAATTTACCTGCTATATGTTCCTGTTTAGGGCAAATTCCTCTAGATGACGTTGATAAACAATCGTCATCCTCTGGCGTAACCTGGATGCCAACCTCCACAGGATTGGATGCTTTTTTCAGCTCACTTGGTGAGGGTGAAGGTGGCTTATCCACAGCCTTCTCTAAGCAGAGACTGCCATTGCATTGTTTCCGTTTGTGCTCAATAAAAATAAGAATGTCCCCCAACGGGAAGTTCATCTGACACTGGCCACAAGTGAGGAGGTCGTGGTCCCCTTCCGGAGCTCCCAATGTGCCATGTTCAGGTTCGTCATCAGTGAGAATGGCTTCAAGAGGTTCGGCTGCAGTTTGAGAAACAAAAGGAGAATCATTAGAGCTCTCGGGAAAGGCACCGGGCACGGGGGGCGGGG